AACTGCATATGTCGTAGGAAAATGGATCACGAATCCAACCAAGATCGTTTTCAGGAAAATCCTTGAATCTTCTGCATGAAATTGCAATTAAACAGTGAGTGACGGCGCTTCACTCTTTATATGTACACTGTATGGTATGCAGCATGCAGGCATAATGCATTTCATAAATATTTGACAACCCCCAAAAAACTTCTGGCGACCCCCACAGGGGTCGCGACCTCTAGTTTGCGCACTACTGGGGGAGAGTACCACCCACGGTCATTCTAAGAAGTGAACTTTAGGACTGAACACGTAGTTTCTTCTATGTTAAATAAAATTTGTAATCTAATTTTGTAAATTTGGGAGTGCTTCAAATATGACGGTTAAAACGGTTTTATGTCGTTTTTTTTAACATTATCTAGTATAGTAAAATCGTAGGACCGATAAAAATTTGACGTTATATTAGGATTGTTACATTTGATGACATTATAATCGGGTTAAACTTTATATTGTTTGTGCAAAATAAAAAAATGATTTCGGACGATACAATAGCCACGATTATTTTTTTTAAAAAACCGGAACTTTTCGTTACGCATGGACAAAAATTCAACCCGGGCCGACACGCAACGGAGAGAAATTTTGAAATTAGATAGGTTAATTTCATCGAAGATGCATCGTGGACGATCTCGTGTTCGTGGCCGGCGAAGTTTGAACGATCGCGCCCAAAAGCAGCGATATCAAAGAAGATAGGAGAATGAGAACGAGACCTGCTCAAGGCAGGTCTCGTTCTCATTCTCCTATCTTCTTAAAAGTAATTCTGTCTTTGAGACATAGTCTTGTCCCAAATACGGTTTTGCCGTTTTACTTGTTAAATGTTAGAATTCTAATCGTTCAAAATTCGAAAATTAGAATATTTTAAATCGAACAGAATGTTTTGTAGCATTCTTTTATTATGTTTAACTTACAGTAGTATAATTACAAATTATAAAATGTTTCTTCATTAGTTGTATTTTCAAATATAATTTTTTATTCATTTGAATTATCTTCAAAAAAGAATGAAGTTTTTAATTGTATTTTATTTTGTAGCAAAAGCGTTGCTAGCTAATAAATTTCATAAGTTTAGTCTGAATGAAAATTCTGAGAACAAGGTAAATTATTATAATAATTTATTTGTTTCGAACAAAGACGTGAACAAAAACATGCTTGATTTATCGGATGATAAAGAAGCAAATTTAGCCGTTTCTAATGTTAAAACTAATAATATATTCAAGAATAAAAATTGGATAACTTATCGAAAACTTAAAAAATTATCACGAACTTCAATTTCTCGACATACACAACAAATTTCTACCGAAAATTCAATAATTTATCAAGATCCATCTGTTGGCTATATACTTGAAAATGAAGAAAACGACTTACAAGAAAAGAAAAGAGATGCAGATTCTTCAAAATGGAACGATTTAAATCGCAACAAAAAGTTACTTATTATTAGCGCACCGTTATACAATTTTGTAATGACAATATTTTTATTAATTTTAACTAGCGTTTTAGTACTAATACCAATAATTATGTATTATTGGAAAAGAAAACAGATAATTTTAAAAAGTGTGAAAAAAGTTGATAATTCTTGTTTTTACTCATTACTCTCCGAAGATAGCGAAGACGAAATTCATCTTCATACCAAATTAATACAGCAAAGGGAAACAATGTACGATCAGTCTGATTCAGAAGAAAAAGTTTTTTCTCCATCGATATATAGATCACAAATTGAATCGATAGGCAGGGCAACTAACGAAATCGAGAAAAGTGAAAATTTTCATGTACCCGAGTTTAAAATTACAACTTTGCCTTTTAAGCTGGATAAATTTGAAGTTTCTCAAAATGCGCAACAGAAAAATAACGTTGACAGAACTGCTTTAATTCGTAATCCAAAACAGCGTGTTGAATTGAAGAATTTGCTGTATTCAATGAATTTCGATGTAAGACTAAAATGTAGTCCCGTGTCTAAAAGCAGACCAAAATTTGCATTACCAAACAAAATAAGTTCGATTAAAATCGATCCAAACATTCCAAAAAATAGGATATCAAGAGCATATCCAATTCTACAAGATTTACAACCAAAAATAATTGAACCAGTATTTAAGGAGGAATTGTCGTCTACAAATATATCATCTAAAGAAACGAAAGAAGAAATATCTTTCACAGAATTAAGCAAAGAAAATAAACATTTTTCTAATATAATAAATACTTTTGATTTTATATATAGTGAAGATTCTGAAATTGAAGAAGAGAACAGATTTCTACAATGTCATATTGTCAAATCCCATTCGTTTATCAAAGATGTCGGAATATTAAGTTACAGAAATTATAATTTTCATCCTGTAAACAAATTCGAAGAATTTAAAATTTGTCAATCAGCCTTTCCTGCTTTAAAGAGAAGCACAAGTACACATTTTTGAAAGATTTTTTTCTTTAAAAATTGTTTTAATGCATTCAGTAAATAAATTTAAAAAATTAAATATAATATTTATCGTCGAAATCTAAACTAAGTAATTATTATCACAAAATCCATCTAGCCTCGTATGTATTAATATCTTTTTCTAATCAAATTATCTTAAATAAAATGATTTTTCTTGAAACCAATCGAATTTTTTTCTTAAAAATAACAATGTTTTTCAAAAGATAAGATTAAAATCTGTGAAATTATGACCGCAATGTAAATCTTTCATATTATGTCTAATAATAACAAAATTGATAGTTAAAAATGTCAAAATACAGTGGTGCTTCGTATAACGTACTTAATCCGTTCCATGTACACGTCCGTTAAGTGAAAAGTCCGTTATACGAAACGCATTTTCCCATAGAAATACATGTTAAAACATATAATTCGTTCCGCAGCATAAAATAACCATACTGTACCATAAAGAAATGAAAATGGAGCAGACACCAATTAAGCCAGGTAGTCAAATGTGAGGAGGAGGTGGAGGAACACTTTCTTCACACATTCATACAAATACAGACTTTTTACACATTGCAGCAGGTCTCTTTTTATTGTTTTTTAATCGGAGTCAGATTCAGGAGAGGCTACCGGAGCTTGCAGGGTCATCTCCTCTTGTTCCATCCTTTGTTTTTTGGCAGCTTGCTTCTTGAAAAACATGTGCGAGGTTGTCTGTTTCTCTCTCTTCTTCAACACCTGTCGGAAATGACGGGCAAAGGTTTCGTCGTAGAGATCATTGATCCTGTTGGCCTCAACTGTGTTTGGATAATGAGTGTTGGGAAACTCCTGAACCTATCCCCATTTGACAAGGAAGTTTTCGTCAACTTTCACTCCTTCTAATGATTTCTTGCTTTGTTTCAATTGAAATCACCTTTCTGTTTTTTTAGAAGCCATAATTTGCACAACACTTGAATAAATGTAAATACCTTGCACTGAGGTGATGTACGTAATAAACAAGGGAGCAAGCCGAATCCCAACGGGAGCTCTGTACTTCAGATATACTAATAATATATTCTAATAATACTAATATATTATAAAAATAGCAGATTGCCATTGGCAACGGCAAAAGTGTGGAAACATCATTCGCACTTGTTTGCAGAAAGTCCGTTGTTCGCAGCGTCCGTTATTCGAGGCGTACGTTATACGAGGCACCACTATAATAGTTTTTTCTGATACTTCTTCGTTCCGAATCAATAGTGTATATTCAAAAGAATTTTGAATATACTAAAAATTATTCAATTTGTATATTCAAAAGAATTTTGAATATACAAATTGAATAATTTTTAGTTTGAGAGAGTACAGTACATTTAAGCATGCGTACACACGATCATACGCATAATTAATGTAAATATACGAATAAAAAATCGATTATTTTTCAACTTTTACAATATCTTAAAACATTTAATCTCATCACAAAGAAATATTCTAATACTAATGGCACATGCTGGACATTCAGCAGACTAAGCACAAAGCGTGATATGGTGCGATTGTGATTAGGCCTATATGTTCTTATTTTGCACGCTTTTAAAATAAGATATTCATATAATATAATTAAAAGTAATAATAAATAAACTTTTAAGTTAAATAAATATTATTCTAGTAAAAAATAAAAATTAAAAATTATATGTTTATCTAATTGGTTTGGTTTGACGTGATAAGTTTGATGCCTGATTCCATCAAACCAAACCAATCCGTGCGTATATCGTGAGAGTGCCTCAGATATGTTACAGAAATATTAAATATTTTTTAGAATTTTGAATAAGTTCTTTCTTAAAATTTTATTTTTTATCTTTTATCTTTTTGGACTGCCGACCAAAGGGAGAAAATATTCACCAAAATGCTGATTGTTGAAAAATTTGCGGTATCTGTATATTCCCCTCATAAAAGTTGCGAGTATTTATGCATATGTCGGCGTACTAACTCTGCAGTATAAAAGTTACGGCTTACCAGCTTAAAGAGCGATACTACCTATCTCTTTACGCATTGATTCAAATGGTCTTTTTATTTTTTAGTATATAAAACTGTGAGTTTTGTTTTCATAAGTTTAAACTTTGTATTATCAATTTTTTTTTAATCAACCGTAATTTATTTTAAATTTTAAACATTTTTATTTAAAAAATTATGGTCTATCACAGAAATCTTATTAAATTTAAAGTGGATCGAAATTTGTGCGTAATTCTTATTGAATTACTGTACTTAAGCATTCTCGAACGCAATAAATCATTTTAATGTAAGTTGCATCGTTAATTCTCTTTTTAAATCAAATTTTAATTTATTATGATTAGTGCATAAAAGCATAATTTTCGAAGTTTTCCCATATAAACTCAATACAATACGTTTTCATTAAGTGCATGCGGACTGACGATTTTTCCATAAATAATATTAATGCATTTATAACCAAACGGATGAAAGTATATGAGGTAATGTAATAATTTTATCCGAGAATTACAAGAAAATTCGATTCGAAAAAAGTTCGAATAATTCAAACCCGTATAATTCGAAGTATTTTTTTTTTTCATCTTGAGTTTCGAAATAACGAGGTTTTACTGTACCAGGAATGGATTACCCCGAAAAATTCCTAGTGTTTTTCGACTCGTAAGGATTCGTTTCCGAGTCGATCGTCCGGCCAATGAAAACAGGGTAGAGAGCGTAAACAGAAGATTCACAGCCAGGACCGGCGCTACGGTAATGGCAAACTGGGCATTTTCCCAGGGAGGAAAATTTTCATAAATTTAAACAAAATTTTCAGGCGTTGATATTTTATATTTTTATTTATTAAATTATAGCACCGGCTCAGTTCACAGTGTACGTAAGAATGAAAAACGTAACACGAAAAGCTATTTATCATTGAATAGGATCCTAATACTTTGTAGGGCTACTTCGAGCCTTAATAACAGCTCTGCAGCGCCCTGGCGTGGAATACAATTATATGAGTTTCTTCAAGTATTTTATACCTAGCTCGTAATATCAAATTGTTCTAATAGACTCCTTCAGTGGATGTTTATTTTCAGACTTCTCTGCAATTTTCGTGACCATATAATATGCCAGCAGTTCATAAAAGGCTGGGATCAAGACTGTCAGGTAATCAACTGAGCGTCTTTTAAGCATTTTTTAAAAGAATCTAAATAACAACTTATGTGCCAATTTAAGCGCATTGCATTCAAACCGTAGAGAGAAGAGACATTACTGTATAGTCTACTTTATTCGCCATCTTGGCATGGTGACATGACGCAGAGTCATCCTGGAAAATATAGGATTTTGCGTCACGAATTGTTAGAATTCGCTTGGCAGATAAGATATTTTTTAGTATTTTACATTCACAAACCCACTTGTAAAAAATGAATAAATGAAAATTAACTGCAAGTTAATTTTTATTTTATACATTAATTAATTTCATTATTAATATAGTAGAGGAAAAGGTAGTATTATGGAACACTGCGGTATTAAGGAACCACTCTATTTCGAACTGAAAATAAAGGCGTACTGTGGCGGATTGTGGCTGAACTGCACTAGGCAGACATCCATAGTAAGGGGAAAACCCGTTTCACTTCAGTTAAACGGTTGTCCGTAGTGAATCAACAAATTTATGTTTTTCAAAATTCGAAAGTTTTGATTGCTAAGTGAATTTAATTATTTTTAAAATATAAATCGTGTAGTTTTAGGTTCACTGGTGCGTGTATTCTGTTTCAGAGACTTAGGGTACATATTAATCTGTGTGATGTTCACGTTTTTTAAAATTTGGTCTTGACTGACATAAGTTAATTCAAGATGGCGATTTCATTGGTGCTTTTAATATGGAACCCAACTCCTCCGAACTCTCTATTTGCAAGCAGACATTCGTCCGGAGCAATTTGTGAAAAAGACACTAGGTAGAAAGCCAATTCTTCCTGAGAATATCGAAAAAGAGCTGCTGGAATATATATTGTTGATGGAGGTCATATTTTTCTATTATAAAAGCATTTTTTCGATAAAATACATTGGAGTAAATAATTTTGTAATTATTTAACATTTTTTGTACTTTCCTATTTGTTTTTGGCTACATTAAAGCATTTTTTTGAAAATATACAGTAAGGTTCCATATTACCACCCGATTTTCTCTAAGCCTACTTTCTGACTTTTTGTACAAAAGCCTTCAAAAACCATACTTATAGTTACACTAGCGAAAAATTCAATTAGGAGCATTTAGTTTAACAGTTACCAGTACTTTTCGCACAAAAAATGTGGGTGTAATTATGACACCTTGTTTACAATTCACTAAAATAAAAATGGGGTTCCATAATACCACCTTCTCCTCTAAATTCAAATGAGTAATCAATTATCAATTTTTATCAATCATCAGCTTTTCAATTAAAAATTACAATTTAATTTTACAAAGCAAAAATATTTTATACTTTTAGTTTTATTTATGACTTTAAAAAAGTTATTCTTCAAAATCGAATGTTACGAATTGAAGTTATACAGTAAAATCTCACTAAGTAGAAATGCATTATATCGAAGCTATCTACAGATCCTGGGCACAGCATATAGAGTTTTAGTATAACATGGTCTCTAACTTGTAAGTCGAAAGAAATTGCCAGTATTTTTAACTCGAACCCATTCTCCTGTGTACCCTCCACATTTTGAGGACTGATCTTCATTTTCTCTTATATTGTGTGAATACAGACAATTAAGATAAACAGTATGATTTAATGCCGAATACTGTTAGATAAGTGATATGAAGCTAGCACTCGTGAAGAAAACACATAAAAGATATTGAAAAAGACTTTTATTATGATAATAACCGGTTACAACGTACCGCTTCGGAAAAAAAAGTGTAAGGATTAATTCTTCCACTCTTTTTCCTTTGTGTTGCTAATCAACTGATAAATTAAACCAATAAATAAAATAAACATTAAAACTTTAGCATTATGACATAAAGCATAATAATAATATACAGTACTTATGCCAACAAATACAAACCATACTATTGCAAATTCATATCAATATCCTTTTATTGATATGGTATGTTACCGGCGTTCTGATTGGGATACGAGGTTACTTGAAAACGCACTCAAGGGCATAAATTGTAAACAATTTTGTAATCATTCTGTGAACAGATTCTCAAAAAACGGCTTGATAACGGGAAATTTACGCCTACAAAATTTTTGAAAAAAATTGGGCATTAAACGCGTAACTCGAAGTCGAAACTTAAGTTTCATTGTAATTTATTTCAAAGTACCTCATTGTCCACATTGTTCTGTACTGTTGCAAATGTTAGCTTTCCATATTTTTCCATATGGTTCTAGAAAATGTCCTTGTCTATGGACATTAATTTTAATCAAAAAATTATAAAGATGTAAGCGGATAAAGAAAATGAAACCAAAATTCGCATTTCAATCGTTAACCCCGCGTTTCTTTATTCAGCGAGTGTGTAGCGAAATGACGTCACGAGCAGTGTTGGCCAATTAGAAATCAGTTTCAGTGTGTTCGCTGTAAAGCGCTTATCGAGCGCTGCATAAAGAAACGCGGGGTAACTCTCGTCGATTTTGACGTTTACTTTCCATACTTGTGACGTCAAAATCGCGGCTACCACGATGAAAAATAAGCGTTTTCCTTCGGTTTGAAACATAAATGCTCGTTTAAGACTGCAAGAGAAATTTAATTAACTATTTAAAATATCTGTCAACATTCCATTCTTGCTTCTTATTCCACTCGATTTTCATAACTTTTCCATAAATTTAAAATATTTATTAAAACGTATGGAAAGTAAATGTTTTCAAGAAAGTATATGAACAAGTAGCGACATCTGGTCAACAATATAAACACTAAATGCTTAAGAGAATAATAGAACTTTAAAATAATCTGAGCCAATTTTAATTTATTAGACCAATCTGAGATGAGTAATAAGATCGAAGTATTCTTCGTTGATATTCCAACTCATTATTAAAGAACTTTTAGTTTTTGAGAACTTATATGAAAATTTTTTTTAACATTGCAGATTTAGGACTTCAGCTTCTTAATATAGTATGTCCAGTGGTAATGGAGCAATTACCCTGTGAATAAGCTTCACGACAATTGTATTTAATAATTCGTAAATAATATGTTTGTTATTTTTTTTTAGTTATGATGATTTCGTGGTTATGACAACAATAGAAATGATTTGCCTGCAAAGGAAAAAGCTCTAGGGTATTAATGATGTATTATTAATTAATTAATGACCATTGCGAAGATACTTTTTGAATATTGTAGCTGACTAAGATTTACATAAGTATGCTAATTTAAAAAAAAATTATATATTTAAAATACCTTGCCTGCAGTGTTTGCAAATTACACGTCCTCTAAACATTCAGAAACTGGAATTAAATCCAATGATATTTGTCAAAGTTCAATATGGCTGATAACAGAGAAGATAATAGAAATAGTTTGAAGTGCAGGATTATATAAACCCATGTCGGACTCCCTCCGACACTTAAAAGTTTCCCACACTACAGAAAGCAGCTTGACCCTGGCGTCATAGATACTAGACAACGTTTTATGCATCTTTCCGGGTCCTAGGTATATGCCTACTGTGCCTAATGGTTAAGGTTGCCATACGTCCCATATATACGGGACTGTCACCGCATTTCATTACTCAGTTCCGTATTACTATTTGTCCCTTTTTTGTCTCGTTTTCTCCCTAAACTCTGCATGGGGCGGCCGCGCGCCGGAAAGAGATCGTAATATTGTATATATACAAGTAAGAAACATCGATACACTATTCATAACACTGAGATTCTATTCAACCAGTTTGTATATTTAAAAGATTATTTAGAGAAAAATAATACCAACCAAAACTATAAAGCAACTATGAAATTGAGTATGGAAGAGAAATGGCTGACGTTTTTTGGAGATACAAAATATATTGATCAAAAATCATGTCTAATAAAGCTATGCGAATACGTATTTGCCATTCTAGCCCACAATGCAAATGTTGAGAGAATATTTTCCCTAATGTCAACTCAATGGTCGGACTGTGCCTTTCGTCTGTTCTTGCCCCCCTTTCGCCACGTGGTGGGTCTAACTCGGTGGAGAGGAGTTATGTAATTCAGGGGTGTGTGATCGAGGGGTGAGTGTTTTATGGACGGGGTGTGTCTCAGGGAGAGGGGTGAAGGGAAGTGGAGAGTGGAGAAAACGGCAGATGAGTAAGGACAGTGGAGTGAAGTGCAGGAATGAAGATATAGAGCCTGTGCAAGCAAGTCCGTAGAGATTTTTAGAACTTTGGAACTTTTCCCTACCCGGAGTGGAAGAGAAGAAAAGATCGTCGAAGCCTCATTTATGTCGGTATGTTTCCATGTATTCTTGTTACGTCTGCTTGAGCAATTTATTGTCGGGAGATTTTTGTTATCGATTCGCGATATACTAGATTTGTCGGACTCTGTATTCTTGTGTCTCATCTTGATCTTGGGAGTATTGTATCCTCCCAAGTATATTAAAGAAATATTGTTATAGTATTCAATGGTTGTCTTGTCTAGTCCCTATTGAGTCCAGTGGATTCCCCTTAATAAGCGTTGTTTCCACCAAGCACGCTTGTTATAAATTTATCCCCTGGTTGAGCACTTATATTTTATCGTGTTGATTCATTCACACGATATTTTGTACCCCCACAGGACAAAAGAAACAGATTGTCAGTAAAGATAATTGAAGTAATTTTGATTTGTCATTATAATTTTAAAAGGACTTTCTCCCAATTTTACAATTATGTAAAAGAAGAAAATAATATAATTAAGAAAGTAAAATCAACTTTAAAATATGACCGGGCTAAAAAGGATTAGCCTCCCATCTATTTTTTTTTAATTACTATTCTACGTGTTCATTTTATTAGATTGCTTAAACTTTATTGGTTTTTTTATCAGAATAAAATAAATCATTACCTACCCACTTTTTTCATGTTTTATTTATTTAGCACTTAAATAAACGTCCCGTATCAACATGCTAGGCAATTATAGCAACCCTACTAAAGGTTAAAATGGCCCTGTCGAAACAGATCATTTTTATATGATACCAGTGGCGTGCCATCCATGGAAGCTGTGGAAGCGCAGCTTCCCTTGTATTTTCTAAAATATAAATACATATTGTGCGATTATTTTTATATTTTAACGTATTTTGAATTAATTAAGATTAATATTTTATTGTAACCGCATAATGTATCTTATTACAAATTTCTATACTACATGTAAAAATAAGTAAGATTGTTATTATATATTCGAATATAAATTTGTATATGCATATTCCTAACGGAAGCGCCGTATTGTCGAATACTAGACAACTTCCATGGCCAAAATATTTGAATCGCATAGCACCAACCTCACGCGGTTTAGCTCATGCCAAAATAACGTATAACGCTTCCAATGATTCTTTTCATGCCCGGCACAGCTTCCCTATCATCAAGTGTCACCGCACGCCATTGCATGACACTTCAATTCGTGGTATCAGAAAACAGAAAATTCCCTGAAATTCTTCGAAATACAGGACATTTTTTCGGAAAATCCTGGAATATGGAACATTTCGGCGTTCCGTCAAAATCGTCGGGACATGGGACTGGGAATCAAAATACGTCTCGTTATGAAGCCAAACCTATTATTATTAGCGTAGACGAAGCCTCTCTTATTATAGGGGATTCCAGTAAAATAAGAGAGGCTCGGTCACTAAATCAATGGATTAAGTACCGGTACATGGTAGTATTCAAATTTACATTTTGAACTAAGATCTTTTCATAAAAACGATGTGTGGTTTAATACTGGCTCACCAGATTTATTAATCGTATTAGAGAAAGGGAGTCGATAAAATATCAAGGAATTCTTGAAGGGGTCGACAGTGAAAAATGTTCAGGAACCCCTGCACAGGCGTCCGCAGAGGGCAAACGAGGCACTTGCTTCCCCGGGATCGAATAAAAAATTCTACAAAATTATAATCGTAAAAGTGATTGAGACCATACACTCTTGACCATGGGGCACTTTGTCTTTTTATATTGATACAATATTTTATTCTTTAATATTCTTGGAAAAAAACACCAAAAAAAACATTGAAATAAAAATTTATTGATGTAATTATTTGTCTCCAAGTTTTTCCCCCTAGAAAATTTTTTGTGGCTTTGAAATGTTTATTTAAAAATCAAACTAGTTATATTAATACAGTACTAAGATTGTTTTAAAATTTGCAAATTTTTTTACAATTCCAAATTTATTGATCTGATCATTCTAAAAAATTAATGCTGACATATGAATATGCAGTACTGTACTTTGTTAGCATTTTATTTAAATATTTACTAAAATATTTTTAGGATACATAAATTCATGTTTAAAATTTGTAAAGTTGTCTTCAAGCAAAAACAAGGTCCTTGACAAAACTTTACAGATTAATTAATTACCGTTAAAATTTTTCACATATTTGATAATTAGAAAAACAAGTGTAACAAATTATTTAACCATTGAATTAAAATTATATCATGATTATGGAGTCAGAAGTGATCTTTGTTATGTCAATGAATTTAACAATTTATAAGTTTGCACGTGACTAACATTAGGCAATTTTAAGAAGTTATTGTTTGAACAGAATTATTTAATTCGTAAATACAGTAATGAATTAATAATTATTATGAAATAAAACTAATCAAATAGCAGTGTTGAAATGTGATATAAATTTTTTTTTATTAGTTTAAATAAAAGTTATATTGGCCTTAATATTCATTGTACATTACTTTTATTTTATAATTGATAGTTAAATTTTGCTTAGTAGTTTATGCAAACCATTTATCAGTCATGATTTGAATTTGTAGTCTTTTTACATTTGAAAAATTTAAAATAAATTTATTTGCATTGATATTAATTGACATTACAAATTAATTTTATTTTATCTAGAATACCTAGCATATGATTATATCAATATTGCTGTATTAATTTAGAGTAAATCAAGTAATACTTTTCTTGTACCTACTTATTGATGTATCTGTATAAAATAGGAGTATTATATATATTCGTACTTTGGATACTGACACCATCTGATAAGAATAATGCAAACTATATATATAAATTATACATATCATGACAACTAAATTATTATAAAGATATATTTACATACACTAACATTGATCATTTGTCTTTTTCAATGTATTTTATTGAGTAGAAACAGAGTTAGTGTCATAATAAAAATACTGTAGAAAAACAACAGAATACTGTAGTGATATATAAAAGTTTTTGTACATAACAAAGCATTGCCAAATCTAACATTGTCATTTATTTCTAGAAAAGAACAAACATGAATTATTCATTAATTTCTAATGTATGATTTGGTATCCATGGGTTATTTATTCATTAAGAAATAATTTATTAGTTATAAACTGTTCTATGTAGAACAATTTAGAATATACAGTATTATTCTTTATTCATATACTGGTATATTTGAGCAGAATAGTATTATATATATAATACTAGTATATATATATGAGCAGAATATATATATATATACACACACACGGTATATACATATAAAAACTATTTATGAATTATCTTGTTTTTGAACTTGTGTGTTCTAAAAATAAAATGATATCCTGTTGAATAATTTTTTAAATTATTATTTAATTCTTAAAATAGGAAACAATGTTAAAAAAATACATAAACTTATTGCATTAGTATTAAATTCCAGTTTATTCATTTCCAAATAAATTTTGTATAAACTTTTACAATAAAATTAAACTGGATTAACCAAAGTATTCAATTAGTATTTATTAAATTACTGTTTAAAAAATTTAACAAATTTATCTAACAATGTATTTAAAAAAGTTTTTTGAAACTTTCATTATGAAAACTAAATATTTGAATGATTAAAGCTTCAAAGTGCATATGTATTAATACTGAAATATATAACCATAGCCAATTTTTTTTTTTTGCCTTATAGAAATTCTAATATACAGAAGTAAGAAATTCTGATGTCATTATATTGTTTTTATATATACTATACTTACACCAGTTGCAATATTTACTCTTCTGAATGTATATTGAACAGTTTAGCAAGTTCACTAAGATCTTCAAATGCTTTTCCTTCATTAATTACCTTCCTTGCAATAGGCATACGATTAAAAACATTCCATAAAATGATTCCAACTACTATGTTATCTCTTAGATAGAATATGACACCTTTTCCATAATCATCTCCTGCTTCTGGAGGTCTTGGTATTTGACTGTCTGTTGCTGGATTTGGTGGAATAGCATGTTTTTCAGTCTCTGATCGAAGTCCTTCACCAGTTCCCTCCACTACAGCTTTAGGAGTATCTTTTTCAGTTGCTTTAGCAAACACACCTACTGTTGGTAAAGAAGAGTCTACAATTCCTATGGCTTCATAACCTACATCTGGTCCTAAATCCGACCAAAACATGGACTGATGCCAATAACGTTTTCCTGCACCCGTCATATTTTCTCCTGCTAATCTTCCACTCACAACAGCATGATCATGATGTTCTACTCGACGTCTTCCCAATTTAGTATCATAAAAGCAACTCGCATCTCCTGCTACCCACAAATTATTTCTTGCTTCTAATTCAGTATTCACTCTAAACCCACCATGTTTATCATCTATTTCTAAATCTGATGTTTTAGCTAATTCAACATTAGGTTCAATACCAACAGCAACAACAACATGATCTGTAACAATTTTTTCTCCATTATTTAAACCTAAAACAACAGAATTACCTTCAGAAGATACTTTCTGAATTGAACTTTTAGGAATAACATTTACTCCCTCTGCACGAATTTTTTCTGTTGTCCACTGACTCAGATATTCTGGTAGCACTTTTCCCATATTTCCTGTTTCTGGGAACACCTGGTTTACTGTTAAATTTTTCTTGAGTGCACTTTTTTTACCAAGTGCACACGCTAATTCACTTCCAAGAAAACCACCACCAACAATTGTAATTGATTTCACCTTATTTACTATTTCCTCTAATGCATGAAAGTCACAAACATCTCTAAATAACGAAACTTTTGATTTTATGTTTTCTGCTGCATTTTCAAACACAGAAAGATTTTTTGGCTTTCCTCCCGTTGCTATAAGACATTTTTCATATGTAACTTCGTCTCCATTATCTAAATAAACCCTATGATTATCTGGATCTATTTTTGTTACTTTAACACCTGTAACAACTGCTACTCCACCATTTTCTCTTGTTAATAATTCATCAGATGGACAATAAAAGTCTTCATGTTCATAATAAATGCTTCTTTCTTTTCCATTCCACTGTTTAAAGATTAGCTTTTTAGCCTTATCACGTTCTTCGGTGAACCACAGCTCTTTTGACAGCGGCGGACGCATATAAGGATAATAATTTTCTTCACCAATAACTAATATTTTTGCTTTCGGATCTTTAGCTCTTATAGCCCTGAAGGCAGCAAAGGTAGCAGTGCCGGCGCCGATGAGCAAGTACGGAACGCTAGCGGGCGTTGATCCGGCTTTTGCTGGCACGGCTTGCAACGGGCCTTCTTTAGACGTCGACGATTTCTCTTTATCTTCACTCGTTGCAGCTAAATCTGGAAATGCATCTTTTAGAGGGGGCGTGAGGTGGAATTCTAAAAATCCGTAAGAATATGCATAGGCCACTGTTCCCGCAAAAAAGGCAATTCCTGCAATAAAATGACGATTAAATTTTTTCTGTAATTGAGAATATCCTTCCTTCCAAGGTCCAGATGGGACTAGTAAATCGTTTACAGTAGTAGTCCTTTTCAATTTCAAGTCTGATAAGCGTCGTTTAGTCCGCAAAAATAAAGTCTTTTGTACGTTTGCGGATGATCCGTATTTATAACACGAAAGCACAGAACGACGTCCAATCATTGTAGTCATCATTTTTTCAAAAAATTTAAACAAATCCTAATCTTTCCCTTACAAACACCTCCAAGAAACGTGTCTTCCCGTCGTGCTTTACATACGAGCAGCACGCCATCTATCGTTTCTAATTATGAATGGCGTTTTGAGAGAGAAGGTAAGATTAATTTCCAAAATTTTATCGAAATTTAATAATTTAAAGTCATATTACGTATTAAACTTAAAGAGAAAAATATGGAAAAGACGTAATATTTATTTTATTATTACGTAATGATTTCTAAGTGGATGTTAAATCATTCAGTCCAAAGTTTAAGATTATAAATCTTCGTAAAATAAAATAAAATAAAAACTTTTTTCTTTCTATAATGATAAAGGAAATAAACAAATGTTAAAATTAATTTTATAATTAATTATAAAATTTAATAATCATTATTAAATTAATTAACCGTGGGCACACGGTTAATATTATGATTGGTTGATGAAAATTTAAATATATTCAAATAATTTTTCATTAAAAACATTTTATTTTCAATTTATAATAATTTACAATTTTAAATTAAATCTCATTCATATATAATTTCAATTATCAATAATTACTCTGTTCATTAAAAATAATAAACAAAAAGTAACCGAAAAGTAAATATTTTCAAACAAATACAGCATTTTCTAAATCTATTTTTAGAGGAAGAGATAACAAAATATTATTTTAAAAAAATCACAAAATATTCAGACAAAGAAACGTTTTGTTTAAATTTTATTTTAAAATTACAATATTATGCCAATGTAAAGATCTAACAAAACGACTTCCAACAACTTAACACTTCGTTGGATTGTTATGTAAAGATCTATGTAAAATAAACAATTCTTTCTGAAAAACAGTTAAAAATCTATAGATTTTATCCTGTAATATTAATAATCCTACAGACATTCTACTGCAAAGCTGTTGCTGGTGAAAATTCAATGGCTATGAATGTCTTTTTTTATACATATTTAGTAATGCTGTCCCAATAAATATTCTCTCCATATGTGTTAATTTGTCTCTGCTAATATACATTTAATTGGATACAAAGATTAAATTCTAGAAATATATGAATGGTGTACTTCAAAATGATAATTTGAAAATAAATATAAAGTCTACATTATTGGAGTAATTATCACTTACTCAAACTTTCGGTCAAACAAACCCATTAAATTAAAAGAATATTTATTTATGATAAAACTTCTCTACAAAATCATAGATAGTTCTATTGCGGATGTTCCCCTGATGATGAACTAGGGAAGTGATGATTGATTTAAATGTGTATTCTAATAAAGCAGAATATAGAGTTTACTAGAAAAATTGGAGTTTATTCATTATATATTTGAAAATGTATTATAAGAACAAAAATCAATTATTTAAAAATATTTTTAACATTATTTTATCATGATTGAAACTTACTGATTGTTTAAGCTTATTTAACTTCTGTAAAGCATCATTTATTTTCAAGCAAATAATATGCAATTGTTATAGAGATGGTGCAAGTTACAAGTAAAAGTTTGATACGATGTAGATACACATAACGTTGTGAATAGAAAATTTTAGTGATTAAATTTGTATATTTATTATTAAATATTATTTGACCAGTAATTAATAATTAATTGTTTATTTAAATATTTTTAATATGTTAATTGCAGAGAAAACATAAATTTACTAGCAGACAGAAAGATACTGATTTAAAATTTTACAAATGAGAAGTGAATGTGAATTCTATACATATTTCAATAATTTGTTGGGTTGCCGAAAACATTAGTGAAGTGAATTTTTTCCAACACCGGACTCTAGGTTTTGGGTGAGAACTATTTAACACCCGGTGTGAAGTGTTCTCTATAGAGCTGCCTTTTCTTTTCAACATAGCTTTCAATCTGTTTGGGCATTGATTTTACCAGATATTCTGTGACGTTTACCTCAATTTTTGATTATTCATGTTTAGAATGCTTTTCAGTTCATTTCTGTTACTGATATTTGAAATTGCTCCTATGTTATGTTCCTATATTATGTTCCTAAACCTTTTTATTTAATTTATTCCATAAATGTTTGATTACATTTAGATGAGAAGCTGTGCTGGTGTCTCAGTCACTTTTTGGCAATTGTACGGCAGCCACTGTCAAACTTTATAAGACTAGTATTTTAGATCATTATCCTGATAAAAATGGAAGGTATCTGAAATCTAAAGATTAAAAGAAATCTAAAGGTATTCAAAATCTAAAGTCTTCTTCTGAAAAACTAGAAAAACTGGTTTTTCAGGTTTCTCTATTTTTCCTGAGGAAGTCTAGATTTTGTTTTAAAATATTTAAATATCCTTCTCCATTCATATTTCCATCAACAAACACAAGTCATCCAACTCCAGAGGCTGTCATGCAGGCCCAAACCATAACACATCCTCTTTCATGTTTTATAACATAACACCAATAAACCTTTATAGTCAAACCAGCAAATAAAGTTTTTAATATAATTTGACAAGCGCTTTCGATCCTAATTGGGATATGCTTCAGGTCAAAGCATTCTATCCAAAAATTTCAAATGCTTAAAGAGCAATTTTAAATTTTAAAATTGCTAATAAATATTGAACAAATATAAAAATTCCCATCTATATGTTAAGAGTTAAATATTTTGACTGGTATAAAAATCACAACTGTGTGTTAATATTAACATTAAAAATAAAAATAGGAATTAATGTTTTACTGTTGACACAAGGTTTTCCTTATTCTGTTAACAGTTTGGATTCTTCCACACTATGGTTCAACTGTTGGAATCAAAGATGATAAATTTGCATTTATCTGCAATTACATGCTTTCAGTATTCATAATCTTTATCCATAATGTTTTTTCAAACTGGTAGTGAGCTTTTCTGTTTCTTTCATCAAAAAAATTTTCTTCCAGCCACTCTACCATTATATCCACTTTCCTATAGGACTCTCTTTACTGTTTCTGGGTGAACTTGAACTCCAGTATAATTTATCAATGCTACTGCAAGTTTTCATATGCTTGTTTAGGATTATTTTTTATTTTTTTGGATTATACTTGCTTATTTTGCACTGTTAACAATGCATGACATCCAAGTCTTTGTTTATTCATAATTCTGTGTTTATCCCTGTACCTTTTTATAATATCATGTCTTGTTGAGCTGCTTCTACTTACAATATTACTAATACCTCTGATATATCCAACTTCCAATGGTCTATTGATAATTTTCTAATATCTAATGCAGTTTTCCTAGAAACTTTTTAAATTTTTGCTAAATGCAAGCAGAATGTGAGAAATAAAATTCAAAGCTGTTATAAATATTTATTACTGTTAAAGGTTATTATAGAATTATGAGTAAATCCAGTAGTAATGCTTTATTTAACTTGTCGATGAATTTTATGACATGAATTTTACAAGATAAATACTTTTTGCTTTTATTGATAACATAATCAGAAAATTGATAGAATATAATTATATACAGATAATTTAATTACAATAAAGAAAATAACAAGAAGGTTTTATTTACTACTACTATTATTTCAAAATTATTAGTATAAATTAGTTTAATAAGAAAAGTGATGACTCTTGTGAGTCACTGTATACTTCATATATCTGCTTTGTGATTTTAGTATGTATTCCTTGAATATAAGTGAATTATTTGGATTTCAAATAAAAATTCAGTAGGTAATCAGATAAAATTATTGATTTATGTAAAATAAATACAAGAATTTTCTTTTTCTTAACAAGAAGCAAAATTAATGAATAATAATTGTTTTCAAGTTTTCTGTAAAATCTTCATCAGCCTTACTATATTAATAATTCTGGAACTGTTATTTTAAGTCTGTTTATCTATTTTCTGAGATACTAATAATCTAATAAAATTATTAATTGATAATTATGAAATAGAGCAATTAAAATCATTTAAAATGAAATTATCCAATTGAAATGAAATTGTATTGATTGATGTTAAATGAAATTGGTTGTTACCATTTGAAATATTGTAAGATGATATTTCTCATTTTAAGTTGTTTATATCTGAAAATGGCCTATTAATTCAGTCAAAAATGTTACTATTTATCCAACCTTTCTCACTGTTGCAGGTTAATTTATTAATTAAGCCAATTACAATGGTTAGTTTGACTTTATGATGATATCATAGAATGTGAATTATTTTAAATAAATGCAGTATTTTAGACTAGACAATCATTCTAACTTAAAATGTAACTTTTTTGTATGGAGATAAAAGAGCTATCAAAAATATAATTATTTTGAATTATTATGTATATTAATTGTTTTTAATTGATCTTAGATTAGTTCAGTCTCCAAATCAATATTTGTAGACATCAAATAATAAATTAATTGTATCAATTGATATTTTTATTAGGATAGCGTTTTAAGTAATCAAAAATATTAAAATAAAGTAAAATTAAAGTGTAATTTATTGTATTATATATATAGTTTGAATGTAATATAATAATAATAATAAATAATAATTCTTAAATATTTTTAAAACAGGTTCTTGCATGTTATCGCTCTCTGTATAGAACAAGAAAAACAGTTTTTGAAGGAGATGTACATGCACTTCAAAGTAATCAGTTAATTTATTCTTATTTTAACTGATTTAAAATATTGCTTTTAGAATTGTAATTTTAATTTATGTGATTTATTTTGAAAATTGTATCACAATATTAAATTATGATGATTTTATCTCATGATATTTTAACTGTGAATATATTTTTTCAGTTTTCAGTAAAAGTTTGATAGGAATAAACTTTTGTTAATTTTAATATTTAAACCAAAATACAAAATAAAGGAAAAAGAATAAAAATGAACACTACAAACACCTAAGATACCATTGAGAAAATTAAACATGAAGTGAAAACATTTTTGCCTGTGTTAAACAGACATCATCAGGCAAGCAAACTACTGCGAAAAGCATTGGGGGTTGCTAAACACATGTGAAGGGATGGGGGTGTGTGATGTAAGAAGAGGGAAGGAAGGTTTACAGTTCGTAGAATGACTTCCATGCAGATGGGAAGGAGTCAACATCTCTAAAATTTATAGCTGAGTTATGATGGGTGGCCTTGTAAATTTCCACCTGCTCTAGATGTTTCAGCACATGTGGTTTAGATTCATAGTGTAGGAGGTGTGTCTCTTGGAAGTTCACTTGGATGCCGGGAACAGATGCATATGTGGCCAAAACCGTTTTGTTTAATCCTTTTTTGAAAGATGATTGATGTTCCTTGAGATGAACATGTAATGGGCAAGATGTAGTACCTATGTATTACAGGTGGCGGTTGTATCGACAGTTGATGATGAGAATGCAGTAGATGCCTTGTTGGGCAGTCTTTGGCATTACAGAGTAGAGGGGAGATATCTGGACTTCTGTGGAAAACCAAATGATAATTGTTTTCTCATGCTATTTCTTTGTAAAGTGTGGCTAGTGACTTATTGTAGGTGATGATTTTGAATTTGGTTTTTTTTTTGTGAGGGTTTATTCAGCTGGATGGAAGCAGTGTTGGAAAGATTGCAGTAGATCAGACTTTTAATAATGTGTGGGGGTAGTCTTGCTAGGTGGCACACTGGGTGATAGTGTGTATCTCTCTTGCCTGTTTACTCAAAGAATGGGAAAAGGCTTTCTATATTAATGATCTGAACACTGCCAGTTTGAATGTGAATAGATCATGGGATGTGGCTGGGATGAAGGTGGAGAGGTGGATGGGTTTCCTATATACCTGAGTAGAGAGGCATCCCAGTTTGTAGATGATCTGGAGGTCAGGAAATGAACAGAGTGGGCATTATCCTGTTCAAGACATAGTACTAGTCTGAATGAGTTGTGATTTATCTTTTGTAAAAAATCCAGAATGGTGGATTTATCCTGCCAAATTATGAGGATATTGTCAACATATCTGGTATATAGGTGAATGTGGCCAGTGAAGGTGGGAAGTACGGTGGATTCCATTTGACGCACTACTAGTTTGCATAACAAACCAGATAAAGAGCTGCCCATGGGGACTGTCTTGCTTTGTAGAAAAGTTTCTTCTTTGAATGAGAAAAAGAATGAATGACAGAGCAAGTTGGTTAATTCCAAAATGTGTTTATGGTGTTTGTTGGCATCCTTAACGTGAGAGAGGAGGAAATCACAGAGGAAGCAGAAACAATGTTCAATGCAGATAGATGGATATAGTGATTGGAAGTCGAAGACTGTGAAGTGAAGATTGTCCTGGATAGTAAGTTCCTTGAGACAACCTATTAATTCCAGAGGATTAGCTATGGAGTATGGATATTGAGGGTCCATGATGAAAATCTTTATTTTCTTTTACAGTTGTATGGTAAGTGATGAAGCTTTGTTCACAATTTAGTTGGTTGCCTGGTTTGTGAGTTTTGGCAAAGACGAAGATGTGTGGAATTTCTGGAGCAATGACAGCAGTGTGGTGGAGTTGTAGGATACCTGCTAGGGGGTGTTGTTGAGTCGAATGACTCTAGCCTGTAATTTACATAGGTAGTTGTCAGGGGCCACTGAACATCTAGTGTCCTGGATGTAATCCTATATTCCCTTGCAGTATGTGGATCAGTGCATAAGAACAATGCTTTTGGTTTTGTTGGCCTTCAGGGTGATGATACCATGTGTTTTCATCCATGCTTTGGTATTGTGAATGGGTTTCCACAAAGTTGTCTCATGCCTATAAACCCGTTTGTTCCTGAGGTTGAAAACCGTTTTCCAACAGTAAAATTCTTTCTGTAGATCTTTCATGCTTTCTAGGAGATGTTCAACTTCTGAGATGATGGTCTCAGGTATTGCCTTAGAAGGTAGAGGAGTGAAAGACATGCCAAATTTGGTGGCTTGTTTTATACAGTCTGGAGGAATGATGTTATCATTTGGCTTTCCGCAGAAGTTCAGCTATCTCCTTTCTACTCCATAATGCCAAAAATCATACCAACAAGAACCATCCTCCCAGGCATCTACCACATTCCCATCACTGTTGATACAACTGCCATTGATACAACTGCCACCTGCAATACATAGGCTTCTGTCAAAAAAGGATTAAACAATATGGCTTTGGCCACGTACACATCCATTCCTGGCATCCAAGCGAACTTCCAAGAGACACACCTCCTACACTATGAATCTAAACCACATGTGCTGAAACATCTAGAGCAGGTGGAAATTTACAAGGCCACCCGCCATAACGCAGCTATAAATTTTTGAGATGTTGATTCCTTCCCTTCTGAATGGAAATTATTCTACAAACTGTAAACACTCCTTCCCTCTCCTTACATCACACTCCCCCATCCCTTCACACATGTTTGGCAACTCCTGGTGCTTTTCACAGCAGTTTGCTTGCCTGATGATGTCTGTTTAACACAGGCAAAAATGTTTTCGCTTTATGTTTAAATTTCTCAATGGTATCTTAGGTGTTTGTAGTGTTCATTTTTATCTAATAATAACCAGTTGTTAAGTAGCAGTTATCAGAAAAAGAGTAAATGTAATAATTTTTTATAGTGTGTTTGACATTCACGTAGAAGCACCCATTACAATTCCATTAGCCTAATTTTTAAGATACTTGTTAGCAAAAGATTTTCCAACTGAAGCATAATTTTCTTTATCATATTTGAAAAATTGCAAATAACTTAGCAATTACTTTTTATTATTCAAAATATTTTTGTTTTCTTCAAATATCAAACAAAAATAAAAAATTAAGTAATTTTGTTTAATGAAGTAATGATAAACATAGTCCAGTTTTAAGAAGTTTATGTTTTATCTTTGTAATATGTCTTACCAAGTTACAATGAAAATTTTTATTTCTTCTAATACCTCAGTTTTCAAAGTAACTAGTGTAGCTCTAGTGGTACTTGGAGATGTAACAGATAATAAGATGAAGATATCCAAATATCAGCATAGCGTAGATTTAAAATCATCCATTGCAGATTAAAATCATGTATTGTACATGTGGACTACCCACTAACTTTTTCATCTAATCTAAATTAGACAAATGTCACAATTTTAAGAAATTATTTACAAATTAAGTATTTTTAATGCATTTGTTCCATGTTATTTTGATTGAAAATACTTATTAGGTATAATCATTTAAATTTTGTTAGTTCTTGATAAAATTATATTGGCAGTTGGGCAATAATACTTAAATAACTTCAAAAATTTAATAGAAACAATAACCATCTGTAATTGTATTTTATTGGTCTTTTGCTCTGCAATATACTATTTCAGAAAAAAATAAAGTATAATTTTGCCTTGTAAATTTCCACCTGCTCTAGATGTTTCAGCACATGTGGTTTAGATTCATAGTGTAGGAGGTGTGTCTCTTGGAAGTTCACTTGGATGCCGGGAACAGATGCATATGTGGCCAAAACCGTTTTGTTTAATTAATATTAATCACCTTAAATTTGAAATATTTATTTTATTAATATGCATTAAAAAGTCATATTTAATCTTTTGTTTATCTTTTAATTTAAGGAAAAACTTTATTGTGAAATTATGTTTCTATTTTGATTTTTTCTGTTTATAATTTTTGTTTATGTTCAAAGAATAATTATAATAGTTGAATTCTTTTACAAATAAATAAGAATTTCTTAAATTAATCAATAAAAATGATCTTTATAAAAATATTTTATGAAGTTTATTATTAATCTGAGGGTTGCTTGATATGTATTGGCAAAAGTTTGTTTACCTCAAACTACAAGATGTGTCTGGAATAATTAATGGGCTTTTTAATCCTAATTAAATTATAAACAATTTGATGTTATTTCCATAATTGTACACATAACTCCTCTGATGCAATAACGTCAGCAACAGTGCAGAGCCATTTGACATATTTTTTATAACCTGTTATCATGTTTGGAGCAAATGTGTTATATGAAGATTGCTTCTAAGTGTGGAATAAAGAGCACAAAGAATTGGTAAAAGCTGAAGATACAAATGCTCTTTCATATCATTCAGTGAAAGTGGCAAGATGGTTTAAACTGTTAACAGAGGACTGAAGTTAATAACATGCCAGAGAGAGAGGCTTCTTTATCAGTTACCTTTATGACACAGTCTTTGACACTATGGTATCAGTGTACAAGGTTCAACTATAATGTCAAATTATTTGCAATATAGCAAAGATTAATATAAATATATCATCATTCATGTACATCTTTTAGATTTTGAGATAACAAATAGTTGCCACTTGTGAGCCGCCGGGGAGGTTGGGAAGGCCTCTCCTTCCGGCCACAGGTTGGTGACATACTTTCTTGTCAAGGATGGCGTTTCGTTCAGTTACGCGTTACGCGAGTGGAGGAGAGTCAGAGGGGTTGACAATAAGACATTGGCAAGTCGAGTAATGACACCATTTAAATGTCTTTTAGCAAAACATTTAAAAGTTTATTTAACCTGCTAACTAAATAAAAATTTACAAAACTCCTTCGACTTTGCGGATGAGAGAGAGAGTGTTCACAATAATATTTCATACCTCTGAGATAATATCGGATGGATATTCTGGCTTTAATTGTTCCTAAATGCGGTGTGAGGTGTAGCCCAAGGTCTTCCAATTAAGGTCGTACAGTAAGTATAAAGGAAGTTAATGTCCGTCTTGGTCATTCGATTGGCAACTCCCCCGAGAGGGGAAGGAGGGGTGCTTTTATACGTTTTGTGGTGGGAAAATTCGTCAGGTGACCAATTGTTTTAGCAGGTGTGGGGTTAAAGTTGGTGTTAGAATGACAACATTATGACGAATTTCGCCAGTAATTGTAAACTATATACGGGTTGATCATGAGAATAGAAAGAGTTATAAACTTCTCATGCACTTTATATTTTGTTTCTGTAGGTTCAAATTCCTCTAGTTAAAGGAATTTATTATAAATTTAAAGGATTAACTTCTTTTATGAAATTATATGAACTTCGAATTTCACACACTATTTATCAATTTGTATATAAAAATCTATTTTTAGTGATAATGTCCAAAAAAGTTTCTTGTTTATTTTTAAAATATTTTAATATTAATGTCAATAATTGTATTAATAAGTCAGTTTTCTAATATTATTGTTTAATTTTATAGTATCAGCAAAGAAATTACGAGATGAATTTAGAAAAAATATTTCAGTAAATGATCCTAAAAGAATTGAAGAGGTATGATTTTATTCAATATTCAAAATATATTTTGTAATAAAATAAAAGGTATTTTTATATATGATTTGAAATTTTTCCATTATGAAGGATTAGTTAATTTATATTGATACAATTAATATGGAATATGCTTCCTGCCTAAATCAGATGGTGCTATGGGAATCATTCTCTTATGGTGGAAATTTGAAAAACATGGTTACAAACATGTACTTATATAGGTGCAATGAACATAGTTTTAAGAAATAATTTTATTTCCTATCACTTTTGAGGATTTTTTTTTAGAAAATCCTTTAGAACAGGAAAAATTAAAATAAATGGACTGTTTTTGTAATGTTACTCAAAATATTCAAAAATATATAGCTTTTGATAAATGTATTCTACAAATGCATATATATATAAATCTAGCTAAGAAATTCAATTACAAGTTGCCCAAAGGAAAATTAATCATTTATATTACATCTTTTTTGATCATTTTTTTAAAAATGTAATTAAAATTTAATTTTATAAAAATGTATCAATACAAATACATTTTTATAAAAATTATGCTTTATTTTAAAAATAAAAATATTAATGCAAAAGTTTTTAAAATCTCTTTAATGCTTATTGAAAAAGAACAAAGTACATGCAAGATTTGCTGTCATCAATGTAGGACATAAGAGAACTGATAAAAGAATCAACATAAACATGTTAACTTAATGGCAGTATATTATTTTTCAGCTTAATGACCAATGGAAAATGATTAATGCTTTTTGCTCATGCAGGCAGGACTTCTTGGTAGTTGCAAGCATGCAGCACATCTTATTTTTTTATTAGTAAAGAAGAAAAATAGAACCAAGAGCAAGTTTACTACAAACTTGGAATAAACCAGCAACTTTAATAAAAAGAAGCATAAACAAGCAACAAGGCTTAGCCACATTTTTGGAACAAGAAAACATATAAGAAAGCAAACCAACACATATCTCCAGTTGATCCAAATAGAGTATATTGATAGAAAACTCTTCAGATATTATCTGCTCAATGAAGAGTGCATTACCCAGAAATGCCATGGCTACACTGTTCTCCAGATGGAATTATCAGAGACAGTGACAGTTATTGTATATTGGAAATAAAATGTCCATCAAAACTTAGGAATGTTTCTATAATTAACCCGGCGTGAGTGAGGTCAGGTATGTCATACCCGAGAAGATTTTAAACGCAGATTATTTAATATTATTGTTGCTATGCAAATCCCGTTGTCACAGTAGCTGGAGGTAAGGGAGTGGGGGGCTAGGCGCAGTGTTGAGTTTAGTGTTCCGCCAGTGTCAGCGGGAGATACATATGAGCAAAGGTGGCTGGGGTACGTCACACCTGACCTCATAGTTGTTACATTTTTGAGTTGACAGTAAGTTTATGAGTTATAGTTATTTATAGTATTTTTAGATTTATTTCTAGATTTCTCAAATGATAGTCTTTGCATTAGACAAAAAACACATCTTCCAATGGAAACTCGAAAAGTGATTACTGATCAACTGGGAGAACCTTCATTACCTGTTTCCAAAAAAATGGCTAATAAATATGTCAGGTGTACTAAAAAACAGATAGGAAAACAAAACATTGCTGTTCGAAGTGTGAGAAGCCAAAATGTATGAAGCATGCAATTTTTATGTGTGGAGATTGTGCTGATTTGTAGGTGTAATGTTGGTGCTGTGTAAATTGATCTCATAAGACCTTTTAGTTTTTTTTTCTATTTTTATAATTGAAAGATACTATAGTTATGTTGATTAACCAAAGAAGTTGTAATTTTGTTAGAATTTTATACGAAAAAATGTTAAACTACCAAAACTTGTACTTTTTCAAAGAAAATATAGACACTTTGTTATTTCAATTAAAAAAAAATGCTTTTCAATCTTAAACATAATATTTTATTTACTCATCTTGTTGAATAGATACTATTCTTATTATCCCAAGTGAAAAAATACTTTATACACAATTATAGTATAAAAAATTCGACATCAAAGTTTCGGGTATCTCCTACCCACCTCATAGTTGGTGTAACAATTTCTCACCTCATTCACGCCGAGTTAATGAAGATGAACAAATAAAAGTAAAGCCTCTGTATAGCATTAATCCATGTTTTTCTTCTAACTGGTTCTTTTTTCATTTGAAAAAATAAAAAAACTACCCCATGTTATTATTATAAGAATTATTACATCCTGCCATGTTACAAATACCTTGTTTCTTTATCTCAGACAAAAAATTCACTGAATTTGCCATATTAGCTCAGTTGTAACTCTGTTGTTTGTAATTACAAAGTTCAATATTTTACTACAAGAGTTATCCATCAGTAGCACAAAACTTATGGGCAGGGCACCTATATCATTATTAGTGTATAATCTAGAAGCATAGAATTTCTAGTCTTTTGGCTAATTCAGTTCATAGAATTCTAGCCAAATTAAGAAAGTTGTTGTATCCTGCATGACTACTTTTTGCATGAATCACCAGCACTTAATTTCATCTAATTTTATCTTTAGTTAATATTTCTACAAAGAGTTGCTGATGGGAATTCCTTGTAAGATCAGTTTTCTCAAAACACTTTTTTCCTGAAGTTTTGACATCAGACGTACAGCACCTAGTCAGGAGAATAACAGGGATTTCAGGTCAAAAAATGAAAATATTGAAAAATTATTGAGGATGGAACAAATGTTAAGGAATCTCTGTAGTACAACTTTCAGCTTAAAATAAATTAACTATTAGATTGTCACTACCACTGAAAACATGCATTCATTACTTAATTTTATGTGTAAAATGTATATTAAAAACTAAATTATACCAATTTTGGCTAAAATTATGCATTATAGAAAATAAATGTATTCTATTATATGTCATTTGAAATTATGTTAAAAGTTATAATTATATCACAACTGATAATTCTGTTGAGCAATGACAATATTGAATATTGCATATTGAATTGCATAGATTATTATTTTGTTGCCAAATTGGATCTATAGGAAAATAAGAGTGGAAAGTTAGAATACTGGCAGCAACGGCTTAATGGTAACTTGCATCTGAGGCAAAACTGATTTTTACTGCTTCTGCTACCAGAACCATTGACAATAGTAATTGCACTCTTGTATGAACTATTTATGAACAACTTTGATGTACATTTACTATATTCAGCTTATTGTTTTTATTTAATTTTTTCTCTTTTTGAACACTTTTGACTGCTCATTTTACTACTACTACTACTACTACTACTACTACTACTCAATATGCCACTTGAAGCAATTGCCTTGTCACTAGGATCACTGATGACAAGGCAATTGCTTCAAGTGGCAAAGTGAGTATGTAGTGGGTTTTATGGGGCCTAGGGCTTACTAAAGTTTAATGGAGCCCCATTTTTTGTTTCACATAAACTTTAATTTTATTTGGCATATATATGTATAACAAAGACATAAATACAGTAGAGCGTTGATTTTCCGAAAGTCAATCATCCGAAAGAATTCCAGTCGGCAAATTTAAATTTTCGCCAGTGCTGTGGCGCTTCAATCTTTGGCTATGTCTTGGGCTACTCAAATATTTTACGTTTTTGATACTAAATTAACATCTGAAGTATAATTTTTTATTATTTTTATATTTTTCAATATATTTATTTTGTTTGTACAAAATAAAAAAATAATTTTTAAC